TCAGAAAATAGTGGCTCATTGCCAAAACCAAACTGTTGCACATGTACAGGCACGTTACATTCAGTGGTGTAAAGTGGCAAAGTTATAATTACATAACAGATGCGAAAGCGTAGAGAAACTAATAACATAAGTTGTTTACTCTGTGGCCTTAAAACGTGATAAGATAGGAAGTGAGGGAACCAGATTGGATCATCCTGACTCCATTTAAAATACAGATGCTGAATTAGAAACAATTATCATTCTCATCTTACAAATGATGGGGGCCCTGGGAGGTGAAGTCCTTTGCTGTTGGTCATACAATTAGTAACAGAAAATCAAACCTGAGTGAGGTTCTTCCAGGCTCAGGTTGGGCTTTGCACTGGATCATTTTAGATGACAAAGGTGGAACCTCTCTTCTTGTGTCAGTCTTGGTTCATTAGGAAGTAGACAGGACGATAGGGCTAGCTGGACAAGAGATTTATTGGGAAGAAACAGATTTATTGGCAAGAGATTTATTGGGAAGGGAAAGGGGAGGGGGCTGGCTGCAGCGGAGAGAACCCCCGGAATGCAGGAAGGCAGGCGCCTACCTCTATAGAGAGAGGGAGGAAGGGGTTGAGATGGGAAAGCCTTGAATCATGGTATAGTTATGATGAAGTTTCCATGCGCCAGTGGAGGGTCCTGGGGCAGAAGTTCCCTGTTTTGTGGGAGTAGTCTAACTCTAGAATATGGCCATGCTCAGTCATCAGTGGGAAGCAGCTGAGAGAAGAGTAGCCTCAGGTAAACCTTGCAGTTCATTCAAATGTGCAGAAGGTGGATGCAGGCTCTCCTGAGGGCAATTCTGAGCAATGACCCCATGGTCACCTCTTATCCCCACTCCCTCTCCTCCATGTCCATAAACACTGATTTTGGGTCATCTCAGACACATGAGAGTGTTTATGAGCTTCAGGGCCCTTTAGGAAGAAGCTGCAGTCCTGTTTTAAGGTGCACTTATCAGGGAATCCCTCCTTGCCTTTCTCTTCCCTTAGCTATATATATATAAATATATGTATGTGTATATATATATATATATGTGTGTGTGTATATATATATATAATTACATGCATTCACAAATCTTGTGAAGTAGGCCAGGCTTTTTCTTAGAGTGTAGGTTCTCCAAGTGGAGTTCCATTGACTTTCTTTCACAAACTAGACCCTTAACATGGCATCTGTGATTTCTAGTTTCAGTTTAAGTGAAGCTAATTCTGAAATACATTTGAGAAATAAAATGAAAAACATTCCAGACTTTTAAGTTCCACCACTGTAATTTTTCATGTCTGTCGTGCCCATACCTAACTCAGCCACAGTTTTTCTTTAACAGCTTGCCTTCATCAAGTCTTTCTAAAGCATTCAACTTATTTTTCATAGAATCCCTTTTTTTGCACTCATATTTCATCGTTTGTATAATAATTTGATATGTAATCAAAAGAACAAGTACATTTAGGATGCACAGACTACTGACTCTGGGGAAGGGCATGGCCTGGCTGTGGGAATGGAAGCGAGCAGATATACAAGAGAAGGGCCAGCAGCAACCTGCCTTCAGCCTGCCGTGGACCCAGCAAGTGTATTTTAAAGGGTAGTTGAAGAATGTCAGATAATCCAGCAAGTGTTTTTTCTTAATTCCCTTTTTGCATTTGCTGCTTTCTCTAGAGGAGTTTTTCTTAGCATCTATAATCATATTTCCTCTCTCTTAGACTATCTGTTTTAGAGGGCAGGGTCCATAGTAGATAGATGAACCTATCGGCAGCTCAAGACAGGACAAAAATCCCTAAAACCAGAAAACAAAGTCTAGAAGAAAATCAGCAATGTTTTAGTTAAAAGTCATGAAATTCGATTTCACCAGTTCACTCTCAAGTACTTTATCTTCTGTCATGGTTAGATCTTCCTGATTAAATTCTGGGATATAATATTCAACTCCAGACTTGTCCCCATGATTAAGTTGGCCATTTTCTTAGTTTGAATTTATTTCTGTGTGTCTGTATTAAGTTCTCCTGGTATAGCACTCCCTTCAGAACTTCTTGGAAAGCTGATCTGGTGTTGGTAAATTCTTTCAGGTTTTGTTTATCTGAGAATGTCCTTGTCTTTTCTTCCCATATGAAGGATAATTTTGCCAGATAGAGTATTCTTGGTTGAAATTGCTTTTCCCTTAACACTTTAAATATATTTTCCCATTCTTTCCTCGCTTGCATTGTTTCTGATAAGAAGTTTGCTGTGAGCCTGATGGGATACCCTTTGTAGGTAACTTGACATTTCTCTCTTGCCAATCTTAGTATCTTGTCTTTGTCTGTGGTTTTGGTCAATCTGGCGATAATGTGTTTTGGAGAAGATCTTGGGTTGATCCTATTGGGGGGGCGTCCTTTGTATTTTTTGGGACTGGATCTTTGAATGCCTCTCTAGGTCTGGAAAGTTTTCTCTTTCTTCCTTCCTTCCTTCCTTTCTTTCTTTCTTTCTTTCTTTCTTTCTTTCTTTCTTTCTTTCTTTCTTTCTCCGTCCTTCCTTCCTTTTTTTTTTTTTTTTTTTGTTTAAGAGGTTTTTGCTATAGGGTGCATGCACTCAACAGGAAGACAGAGAGACAGAGAGACAGAAAGTGAGAAATCACCCCCTGGGGAATGGCCATACTGCAATCTCTTCTCCTGCATTCTCCTCTTGGGATCTTGGGCACGCATACACATGCACCTGGCATGAGTTTAAGCCACTGGGTCTAAGATTCACACTGTGGTCAACTATATGAGAGTCCAGCAACATAGCCATTACTTCAACTGCTGGTCCCAGGTTCGGAAAGTTTTCTTCCAGGATTTCACAGAATAGATTGCCAATGCCCTTATGAGTCTCTTCCCCTTCTGGGATACCAATTATCTGGATGTTTGGAAGTTTGATGGTATCTAGTATTTCTCATACACTATTCTCATTTTTGGGGGGTAATTTTCTCAGTCTTTGTGGTGGATTTTTCTAGGCCAACGATTCTATCTTCTACATCTGAGATTCGATTTTCGGTATGATCTGTCTGCTTTTGATACTTTAAAGGGAGGTTTTGACTTTCTGTATTATAGCCTTCATCTCTAACAGGTCCATTTGATTCTTTTTTATAGTATGAATTTCCTCTTTCGGATCTTGCAAGAATTTCTTCACCTCCTGGAATTCACCAGCTCATTTCTCTTGCCTTTTCGGCAGTTCATTGTCTCTCTTCTCTTCCATCTCTGTGAACTTTGTCACTATGAAAATTCTAAATTTTTTATCTGACATTTCATTTCCATGATTTTCATTGTACTGAGGATGAAGAGGTGTTATTATTTTCCCTTGGAGGAGAGGTATTTTCTTGTTTTCCCATATTTCTTGTGACCCTGTGGTGATTTCTAGTCATCTGATGGATGGTGCATTTCTTCTTAATTCTTGAAGTTCAATCTGAGCATTCAGAGGTGATCTGCAGTCTCTCTTCCATTCCATTTTCACTGTTTGTGCATCAGAATCAGTGGGAATAGAGGAATATTCTGACCCTAATCATATTCAGATGTTTAGATCTTGTTCACTTGGACATGTCTAGATACTTAGTTGCATAGGGGGCTGAGCAGCCAATGAGTAAAGATAAAGAAAAAGGAAAAGAGTTGGAGAAAAGGAAACAACAAGAAAAAATACATAAAATAAAAAGAAATAAGAAAAAAAGATAACAAAAACTTTAGATTTTAATTTTAAAAAGCAAAAAGTGGAAACCGCATGGCGTGCAAGTGCCACATGAAAGCAATATTTCACAGCTAAAGTTCAGGATCCATGTGGGGATGGGCCTGGATTTGTGCCTTTCCTAAGTAGAATGGGGAGAGGCACCCATTAGCACAATAAAGAAGGGACTTGAGAGTCCAGAATACTTTACCTTAAAAAAAATTAAAAAAAAATTAAAAGACACAGGGAGACACAGAGAAAGAGAGAGAGACAGAGAAATGGAGAGAAAGAGACAGGTAACACTATCCACTAGAAATGAGTGAGGGAGAAGTCTCAGCAGAAAGTCTTCATTTTAAGTCTCTGAAAGCAATATTTCACAGCCGAAGTTCAGGATCCATCCCTCAGCTATATTGACAACATAATTTGTGTTCTACTTACAGTGTATACAGTTCAGACTAGAGACACAGTGGAGACAGCTGTTCTATCTGAGCCCAGGCTCAGTGCATTCTGGAGGTTCCTGTTAGAGTCACCAGTAATTCAACAGTTCAATGCTTTTTTTGTTTTTTTTTAAAGAAGTTTTTGTCTTAAGGTGTGTGTGCTTGCTGGAGAGAGAGGTAGAAACAGCGACAGTGACAGTGAGAGGGAAAGTGAGAAATCACCCCCTGGGGGGATGGCCACTCTGTAGTCCCTTCACTTTCATTCTCCTCCCAGGATCTTGGTTATGCATGCATATGCCCTGAGTGTCAAGCCATTGGGTCTGGAGCTTGAACTATGGTCAGCCATGTGGGAGTCCAGCAACGTAACTACGACACCATCTGCTGACCCCCACCCTGTTTTTTTTTTTTTTCCAAGTTTTTGGTATATGACGTGTGTGCTTGTGAGAGAGAGAAAGAGAAAGAGAGAGAAAAAGAGAGAAAGAAAGTGAGACATTAACCCCTGGGAAGATGATCATATCGCAATCCCTTCTCCATTTTCCTCTTTGGATTTTGGGCACACATGCATATCACATGTGGGATTCAGCCACCTTAACCTCCATGCCACCTTCTGGCCCTTCAGTGCTTTTTAAAAATAGTTTTTTATTTCTTCCGAGAGAGGGCGAGAGAGAGAGTGAGAGAGAGAGAGAGAAAGAGAGAGAGAGAGAAAGAGAGAGAGAGATAGCATCCCTTGTAGCATGGGTGTGTCTGTCACACTCAAGAACGTCTCTGGACACAAACCTAGAACCTTCTCTTGTGGGTCAGCCTCACAGAACATTATGTTTTACTGCTGCGTTACTGGCCCCAAGTTTGATGATTAATACCCCTCTTGTATCTGTTCTTCACAGGTATGATTTAAGCCTGGATGAAATGAGAACTTTGACAGTTCAAAGAGTGAACTTTAGTATGGGTCTACCTCTGATAAAACGTGCACTTCAGGAGCAGGTGAGTGCCATTGTTATTCTGGTATGATATTGTGTATGTGCGTGTCTCTGAGAGGGAGAGGTTTTGTTTGTGATTGTGGTTTGTGTAAGCACATTTATCTCCTCCTGGCGGGGCCTGACAGAGGATGCCACTGGTACAAGGGAGTGTCTTCTTCAGCCCCCTTTCCACCCAGCTCCCCATTAACCTGACTGATTCCCCTTTTCTGGCCTCCACACTCACTTCTCCAAGCACACAGGCTAGGGAATAGGAGCATCAACAGGAGTATTAAAATCTTTGTTCACAAAGGCAATGTAATTTTAGGCATAAGGTTTAAATAGATGAGAAGTATAAATAACTTATTTTAGAAGTTTTTAAAACTTTTTTAGACCACCCAAAGTTTATGAGTCTTATTTGTGTAAAATGGCTATTCTGAATTCACTTAAATTATTATAATCAATTTTACATTAGAAAATTTTCTAAGCAGCAGCTTCGAAAATGGCAGAAATGGGGCCACTAGGTGGCATGGTGGTTAAGGTGCTAGACTCCCATGTGGCTGACTGTGGTTCGAGCCCTGGCAGCTTGCTTTCTTACTTTCCCTTTCCCTTGCTCTTTCTCTCTGTCTCTTTGGTCAAATTAAAAAATAACAATACCAAATAAAAGTAAATAAATAATATTAAAATAAAAAGAAAATGGCAGAGAAACTGAACTCATTCTGCAGCTGCCAGCCAGCCCCTTCTTCCCAAGCATGGAGGGAGAATCTTTGGATTGAGGGGTGGAGTCCTGTTCTTCCTGTTCAGGAAGCCACAGGGTGGTTCTCTGTGGGAAATAGATCAGAACTAGTGAGGGTCTGAGATCCAAACTTGGGAATTGATCTTCCACTCCCCTGTTCTTTGGTCAGCTATCTGAAGAGACAAGAACTGAAGCCAGCGCCTTCTCAGGAAGGAATTAGAGCCTTGGCTTCCCCTTTTCTTCAGGTACTGAGCTACCTGTAAGCTGACAAGAGCACACACACAGTTACATTTGATGGAGAGTATGTAAAATGGTGTTAACTCAGCAAGTGAAAACCTCACCCAAATGAGTGAAGCATGTTTGCACTGCCTAAAAAATCATTTCATACCGGGCAGTTTGGCAAAGATGTTCAAGCTAGTATATTGTCTCTCAGTGCAACATGCCTTTAGAGCAATGAATACAGCCAAAAATAGAAAAATCCTGATTCTCTTTGCCTCTGTCAGGGTCTGGCTTCTAAGTGCATCCAGTGTGGGGTTGGTTGGAAGGTGAAATCTTGGCACGTGGCCAGTGGCCCC